AATCAAACTCTCAAAAGTCAAAGACAAAGAGTGAATCACAAAAAACAGAAAAAGAAAAGCAAAATAAAAAGGAGCTCCAAGTCACCTCACAACAGACTTCTCAACAGAAACCATACAGGCCAGGAGAGAGTGAAATGACATTTCTACTAAAGTGCTGAAAGAAAAAAATAAATCACCCTCCAAGAATACTGTATTCTACAAAGTTGTCCTTCAACTAAAAAATAGAAAAATTCTTTCCCAGACAAACAAGAGCTGAAAAGAGTTCAACCGGATAGGTCTTACAAGAAATGCTAAAGAGAGTTCCTCAATCTGAAAAAAAATGTGCAAGAAACAAACAAAAATACTGGAAAGTATGAAACTCACTGTTACAATTAAGTGCATGGACAAACCCAGAATACTCTAGTACTGTAATTGTGGTGCATAATTCACTGATAACTCTAGTATGAAGCCCAAAAGACAATTCTATCAAAAACAATAATACAATCATGTCCTCTGCAAATAGAGACAATTTGACTTCCTCCTTTCCTATTTGAATGCCCTTTATTTCTTTTTCTTGCCTGATTGCTCTGGCTAGAACTTCTAATACTATATTGAATAGCAGTGGTGAGAGCAGGCATCCTTGTCTGGTGCCACATTTAAAGGGGAATGCTTCCAGTTTTTGCCCATTCAGTATGATATTGGCTGTTGGTTTGTCATAAATAGCTTTTATTATTTTGAGATGCGATCCATCGATACCTAGCTTATTGAGTGTTTTTAGCATAAAGGGCTGTTGAATTTTGTCAAAGGCCTTCTCTGCATCAATTGAGATAATCGTGGTTTTTGTCTTTGATTCTGTTTATGTGGTGAATTACGTTTATAGACTGTATATCTAGAAGACCCCATCGTCTCAGCCCCAAACCTCCTGAAACTGATAAGCAAGTTTAGCAAAGTCTCAGGATACAAAATCAATGTGCAAAAATCACATGCATTCCTATACACCAATAACAGACTTAAAGAGAGCCAAATCAAGAACAAACTTCCATTCACAATTGCCACAAAGAGAATAAAATACCTAGGAATACAACTAACAAGGAATGTAAAGGACCTCTTCAAGGAGAACTACAAGCCACTGCTCAACGAAATAAGAGAGGACACAAACAGATGGAGAAACATTCCATGTTCATAGTTAGGAAGAATCAATATCGTGAAAATGGCCATACTGCCCAAAGTAATTTACAGATCCAATGCTATCCCCATCAAGCTACCAATGACCTTCTTCGCAGAACTGGAAAAAACCACCTTAAACTTCATATGGAACCAAAAGAGAGCCCGCATAGCCAAGTCAATTCTAAGCAAAAAGAACAAAGCGGGGGACATCACACTACCAGACTTCAAACTATACTACAAGGCTACAGTAATCAAAATAGCATGGTACTGGTACCAAAACAGAGATATAGACCAATGGAACAGAACAGAGGTCTCGGAGGCAACACAACATATGTGCAACCACCTGATCTTTGACAAACCAGACAAAAGCAAGCAATGGGGAAAGGATTCCCTGTTCAATAAATGGTGTTGGGAAAGCTGGCTAGCCATGAGCAGAAAGCAGAAACTGGACCCCTTCCTGACACCTTACACTAAAATTAACTCCAGATGGATTAAAGACTTAAACATAAGACCTAACACCATAAAAACCCTAGAAGAAAATCTAGGCAAAACCATTCAGGACGTAGGTGTAGGCAAGGACTTCATGACCAAAACACCAAAAGCATTGACAACAAAAGCCAAAATAGACAAATGTGACCTAATCAAACTCCACAGCTTCTGCACAGCAAAAGAAACAATCATTAGAGTGAATCGGCAACCAACAGATTGGGAAAAAATTTTTGCAGTTTACCCATCTGACAAAGGGCTGATATCCAAAATTTACAAAGAACTAAAACAGATTTACAAGAAAAAAACTAACAAGCCCATTCAAAAGTGGGCAAAGGATATGAACAGACACTTTACAAAAGAAGACATACGTGAGGCCAACAAACATATGAAAAAATGCTCATCATCACTGGTCATCAGAGAAATGCAAATCAAAACTACATTGAGATACCATCTCACGCCAGTTAGAATGGCGATCATTAAAAAATCTGGAGACAACAGATGCTGGAGAGGATGTGGAGAAATAGGAACACTTTTACACTGTTGGTGGGAGTATAAATTAGTTCAACCATTGTGGAAGACAGTGTGGCGATTCCTCAAGGACCTAGAAATAGAAATTCCATTTGACCCAGCAATCCCATTACTGGGTATATATCCAAAGGATTACAAATCATTCTACTATAAGGACACGTGCACACGAATGTTCATTACAGCACCGTTTACAATAGCAAAGACCTGGAACCAACCCAAATGCCCATCGACGATAGACTGGATAGGGAAAATGTGGCACATATACACCATGGAATATTATGCAGCCATCAAAAACGATGAGTTTGTGTCCTTTGTAGGGACATGGATGAACCTGGAAACCATCATTCTCAGCAAACTGACAGAAGAGCAGAAGATCAAACACCACATGTTCTCACTCATAGGCAGGTGTTGAACAATGAGAACACATGGACAGGGGTAGGGGAGCACTACACACTGGGGTCAGTTGGGGGGAAATAGGGGAGGGACGGTGGGGGGTGGGAAGCTTGGGAGAGATAGCAATGGGAGAAATGCCAGATGTAGGTGATGGGGAGGAAGGCAGCAAATCACACTGCCACGTGTGTTCCTATGCAACAATTTTGCATGTTCTTCACATGTACCCCAAAACCTAAAATGCAATAAAATAAATAAATGGGAAAAAAAAACCAATAATAATTACAGAAACCTGCTAAGAGATAAATAATATAAAATATGTAAACTAAGACAGTGAAAAGTCAAAATATATGTGTGCGTTGCGGGGGAAGGAGGTGGAGTTAAAACAGCATGGAGGTACCTCAACAAAAACAGAGCTACATATGATTCAGCAATTCCACTACTGGGTATATAATCAAAAGAAAGGAAATCAGTATATCAGAGGCAACTACACTTTCATGTTTACTGCAAGACTGTTCACAAAAGCCAAAATGTGGAAGCAACCTAAGTGTTCATCAGTAGATAAATGGATAAAGAAAATGTGATATGTGTGTGTGTGTGTGTGTATACACACATACATACACACATACATACTCTGTTGTGTGTGTATATATATATACAATTTGCCATACACACACACACACACACACACACACACACACACAATGGAATATAATTTAGCTATAAAAAAATGAAATTCTGTCATTTGCGGCAACATGGATGGAATTAGGAGTCATTATCTTAAGTGCAATAGCCTGGTACATGTTCTCGCTGCCTTATGTTAAAGCCAAACACATGTTCTTACCCATATGAAAGCTAAAAAAATGACTCTCATAATTACAGAGAGTAGATTGGTCATTCCCAGAGAGTCCTGGGAAGGGGAGAGGTAAAGGGAGGTTGAAGAGAAGTTGATTAATGGGTACAAATATATAGTTTGCTAAAAGTAATAAGACCTAGTGATAGACTGCTGCAGTAACTATACTGTACAGTGATCTGTTGCATATTTCAAACTAGCCAGAAGAGAAGAATTTGAATAGTTCCAGCAGAAAGACAAGGCAAATATTAGGTGATAGATATCCTAAGTACATTGATTTGATGTTTACAAATTATATGAGTGTATCCAATTATTATATGTACCCCGAAACTATGTACATTGTTATGCATCAATAAAAGGTAATATCATCATGTATAATGTGATATATTGAACAGAAAATCAACATTGATGCGCTTTGGATATGATTTACAAATACAAGTTTATTTTTGAATACCAGTTTCTCTTCAGTAAATATATGATAATAATTCTATAGTCAGGTACTATTTGGTCTTTGTGCTGCTTATTGTGCACCCTGGGTTTCTTCATCTTTTTCTCTGAATGTTGCAATAGCATTTTAAACTTCCTCATTACTTTCTTGACACTTCGTTATTTTGTATCTATGACTTTATTTCTTTGATATCTTTTAAAATGTGTTCTTTATATTTCTATATCCACCCACATGCATTTCCTTATGGTTTCATCTTTCAGCTATCTTATTTTCCAGAGATTACACCCTCCAACAGTGCTATAGGCAGCTATTGCTGGGCTCAGGGTAAATCTTGCACATAGCTGGAGTGGGTAGCACCCCCAGTCACTGAGCTCATCACATACCGTGCTAATCTATAGCTTCAGATGATGTGCATCTAATTTCTAATTCCAGTTTTTGCCGTAGCTAACTGTTGCATAGCCAGTAATTTAGTCCTTACTTAGAGTGATTGCACAGTGGGGTTCACATTTATTCTGCTCATAAAATCCCATCTTTTCTGCAAGAAAGAACTGACTTCCCGGAATTTGAAAACAATAGCAGTCATCCTCCTTAAACGAGATTTACTGTCTTTGGGTTACTTATTTTGAAAAATTTCTTCAAAGGCAAGTGACAATTTTTAAAAGACTATTATATGAAGATGGACAAATTTTATCTCTTAGTGACCACAACTGTGTTACGGGTTGTATTTTGACAAACAGCCTTAGTTTGATCTACCCTATAGAGTCACAGTAGGGAGATATCATTATTTCCTTTAATTGATGAGAATACTAAAAATCTAAGTATGTTTCACAAGCAACAGAAAGGTACAGAAAGACTAAGTATATTTCAGAAACAACAAGGCTTTTTAAAATGGCAAAGATGTGATTAGAACCTAAAAGTCAGATTTTTCCTAATGTTCTAGTTTATCTTATTTCCAGAACAACTAAGAGCTATTGGGCAGTAGATTTGTATACCTAAACAATCCTATGTGCTTAATCTTGTAAAACTCTGGATAAGGAATTCACACAGAAAACAATATGCCTGCCTGAGGATTATCAATTCCTTGGTGAATAGGACAGTCCTGGTAAAGTATATCTGATCTATAGAGACATGTAAAATTCAAATGAAATCTGTGCTTTTTTCTGGAGTTTATTAGAAATGTGATGGAGAATCTGCTAGGGTCATGACTGTTGGTCCCCCACTGAATTTATGGTGGAACAGATGGTTCTTCCAGAAAGACCAATAAAGTATTTTAGTGATTATAAAATATTTGTCAGAAAATTCAAGGACTTGGTTATGCATGTATCGTTATCACTGCTTCTTTCTTTTATTTTTACTTTCAGAGATGAAAGGCCGGATTTACACAGCTGGATTTAAAGATGGTTTAAATTAATAAATTTGGATTTCTGAAAAGTGACTTGATTCTTGGGTAGGAATACAATATAGTTTAGAATATTAGAGACAGTCTTACTTGTCCTGAAACAACCTGATCTTATCAATAGAAATTCAACCTGAATATGAGGCTGGTTATTAGGAAAATAGTATCTGTCAGGGAAAGGAAAATAACAATTTGAAAGTGAAATATGAGAAATAATTAGTCAAGAGATAAGAAGGAGTATCTGTTGCCTCAGGGAATGAAAACCAAGTGAATCTCATATTTCAGTGTGTGAAAATACATATGATTTTATATTTTATTACCAAGATTTGAAGGAATAGATACAAGATTAGAATAGAAAATGAAAATATATGCCTTATTCAAATTAATAGGCCAGTTATGAGTTAGGATATTGTGGATGTTCAGTTGCTTAGAACTCGGTGTACTTGTAAAATGGAAATGGCATGAAGAATAATATTTGATGATAAAGGAGATGAACGGACTGTTTTTCTAGGACATGACAGCTTTCCCCCTGTACTCTAAAGGCTACTGAGTAAAAGAGGAATTATCTGAATTCTGAATAACGCCAAGGATGTTATCCCTCATATCAAAAAAAAACATCTCAATAAAAGAGAGTTTCTAGTAGAGCTACTTGGCACCAAATGAACTGTGTTCTCTGTTACTAGAAGTTTTAAACAGAGGCTGCATGATGAAATCATAAAATCAACAGAATGTTAGCAGAAATAATTAAAATGAGAGATCTGTGATTAGATTAAATGGATTTAAAGCCTCTTCCAGTCTTGAGATTCTAGAATTCTGTGATACATGACACATGAATTTACTTTCACCATGCTAGTTTTAAATGTATTCAAATCGGCCCAGTACAGTGGCTCATGCCTGTAATCCCAGGACTTCTGTAGGCCAAGGCGGGGGCATCATGAGGTCAGGAGATCGAGAGCATTCTGGCCAACATGGTGAAACCCCTACTAAAAATACAAAAATTAGCTGGGCGTGATGGTACACACCTGTAGTCCCAGCTACTCGGGAGGCTGAAGCAGGAGAATCGGTTGAACCCTGGAGGCAGAGGTTGCAGTGAGCCAGAATTGCACCACTCACTCCAGCCTGGTGATAGAGCAAGACTCTGTCTCAAAAAAAAAAAAAAGTATTCAGATTTTCACTATAATATTCTATAATTTTGCCATTGATGAAAAACAGCCATTTTTATACCAGAAAAAGAGACACTATTGCTTCCAGAACCATAGCGATATCCTGCTCTCCCTCACCATAGGGCCTCCAAAGAGTGTGGCTTTGTCAGGTATGCAATAACTGAAACAATCTGAGCCTTAATATTGAATGCTTCCTCTCAAACATGCAATGAACAGGTTTTTCCATTTTCACCTTCCAAATGCTATCTAGAGAATAATTATTTGAAAAATACTGATCTGAGTTTTACTTAGAACCTACACAAGTTTATGAGAAACAATTCTCTTCACTGTCCTTGTCTTGTTGCAGGTTTGTGCAACAACTCTTAGTACCAAAGCAGAGATTATGAAGAAAGGATTGCATTCAATATTTAGTCAGAGACTACAGATGATGAAAAATATGTCCTGCCTCTGTTGACCTAGAATGTATCATCAAATCAATGCTCCTAAGACTTGAACTCAGCATCACGCTCACATATTTTGATTACCATGTATTTCTGAAATGCAGAAATGAGTATATTGACAAATTTTGCAATTCAAGATTTTTACAAATTCAGTTCAGATGTCAAAGAAGGTAGAGAAGTAGAAACATCACAGGGGGAGTTTTTCACTGCAAGAAGGGCACATCCCCATTTGTTACTAGTTAGACTTGGAAAAATCCTTTAGTTAAATGAAAAAGACAAGTGGGAGACTGAGACTGCCTCGAGAATCATTTACCAATATCTCAAAATAAGTGTGATTATACAAAGCACAGATATTAAAATAATTAAGTTCAAAAACTAAGTGCAAGGCTGTAAGATAAATTGTTATCAATTCTTTAACATAATTCCTGCCCTCTTCCTGCCACAAACCACGTCTTCATCATGCCCCTGGAGTTATTCTAAAATTAATATATGACTATTTTTCTAACTCCACTTAAAATTCTTTAATCTTTCCTCTTGGCCTGCATATTAAAACTCCTCAGGACTGCAGGAAAGGCCTTTTATTATTTGACTATTGCTTATCTATTTAGACTAATTGTTCTATTAATCTTCTCTTCCTGAATGCAAGTTACTTAAAAATATCTGAATATAACATAATGTCCACATTCTGGACATTCATTATTTTTCATCTCCTATTTTTACATTGTGAACACCTACTCATAGGCATAGATTTTGTTCAGATGTGTTCATCATTTTAAAGACCACCTTCATAACCAGCTTCTAGGCCTAGAAAATTAGTTACATTCTTCCTTGTCCCATAACTATATCCTGTGTTTTTATATATTACAATACTTATAAAAATATTATAATTAATTGGTTCTAAATTTGTGTAACCTACTATACTTTGGGGGCAGAGTTTATTCATTCAGTTGTATATTTCTAGAACATTGTACAACTTGTGAATTTTATATTTTGTATCAGTTATTTTCCAAAGAAATTTAGAAGGCTTGACAATATGTGTATTTTAAAAAAAAAAATAATTGCTGTAAAGGAAAGCATAGGACATGTAAAATAAGGTAAAGCCAGGAGTCAGATAAATACTTAAAATGCATATAATATGCCTTAAATATTTTCTACTTTATGGATATTCATTAATTAATAAAAGCCAATAGTTTTGTAAATTACCAAAGGAGGCCTTCAAATTTGAGCCTAAGTGTCATAGCAGTCTACAAAAAGAAGGAGACCTAGTCAGCTATATGCTTCTCATTGTCATTAAAAGAAATGCTCTCAGGCTGTCAGTGCTGAATAATGACTTTTGCTAGTAAGGCCTGAAAGCATTTCACCCTGACTCCATTTTAAGAGTATATGATACATTTATTTAAAATCTATTGAGCAATGGCCTCAACAACAACCTTTCAATAATGCCCATAAGACTGTGTCATATAATTTTTATAGGGAGGAATAATAATACCACTGTTAATTCAGTAAAAGCAATTCTATGTTGGTGAAGACGAGGTGGAAAAAATGATCTTTGAACATACTGCCTTCTAATTCTCAATATTTAGTCCAAAGAAAAAAAGGCAAAAATGTGCAGAGACATATGTATTTTTATATTTGTCCTGTTTTTTGTAGTGCATCTTTAAAAAATGAAATAAATTCATAAATTAAAAAATACAGTAATCTATAGCACAGCATCTATTGGAAGATACCCAAGCAACAGACAAGAAGTTGAGTTGTAGAATTTTCTCAGCTTTATAAGCATACTCAGTGACGTGCAGGGCCAAGGTTGGGTGTAAAGAAAGCCTGGAGTATATGGTTAAAAAATCATTCTCAGTAGGGTGGCTTTCTTGCTCTATAGACCACGTGCACACAGGATAAGAAACAGACAAGGGGTTTGGAAATGGAGAGCTCTTGCCTCTGAAGCTGTCACAAGCCCTGGATCCTGGTCTGAATGAAAACGATGCATCTCCTAGAGCCTTGTGAGAGATAGGTATAGCAGTTGGGTCTTCACAATTCTTGGCCCAGAGACAAGGCAATTTAAAACTCTGCAAGAGGGTAAGCTTGAGGCTTTTAGTAAAAAATATTTTTCTGTAAGAACCGAATTCAGGCAGAAAATTGAACCTAAGTTAAAGGCATTTATTTTCTTTGGATGTACCAAAGAATAAAGAAGTAGGTAAAGCAGAAGCCCACAAAACTGTGAGATCTTGAGGAAAGCAGACAATAAACAAGAAAAACCAGTAAAATGCCTAGTACATTAATGTATTAGTATTAGTTTTCACACTGCTGATAAAGACAAACCTGAGACTGGGAAGAAAAAGAGGTTTAATTGGACTTACAGTTCCATGTGACTAAGGAGGCCTCAGAACCATGATGGGAGGTGAATGGCACTCCTTACATGGCAGTGGCAAGAGAAGATGCAAAAGCAGAAACCCCTAATAAAAGTACCAGATATGATGAGACTTATTTACTACCATTAGAACAGTATGGGGGAAACTGCCCCCATGATGCAAATTATCTCTCACCACGTCCCTCCAACAACATGTGGGAATTATGGGAGTACAGTTCATGTTGATATTTGGGTGGTGACACACAGCCAAATCATATTAATAAGGATAAGTTTTTTTAAAAAAAGAAAAAACCAAAGTAGGTAAGGGGCATAGTGTTAAGGACGAAATTGGAATTCAGATAGGCCTCCCTTCCTTGGTGTGTCTTTCTATAAAGGCCTAAAGAGAGGGAAGGGGCCTGGTCATGGGTTTTTTCTGGGAAAGAACATTCTAGGAATAAAGATAGCAAGTGCAAAACCTTATGTGGCTAGAGTAGGGAAAGTGAGATGAGTAGACGGAGAAAAAGTCAGAGTGGTAACTCAGTGGATGGTAGGCAATTGGGAAATGCCTTATTTCATTGTTAGGGTTTTTAATTCTTACTGTGAGAAATGAGAAACTATTGGAGAGTTTTGAGCAGACAAGTGGCATAAACAGGATTCTTCAGGCTTCTGTACTGAAAATAAATTATAGAAGGCAAAAGCATTAGAATGAAGACCAGTCTGGAAGCTACCAGTGCAATTCAGACTTAATGCTTGGAATTTGTTCACTAACACGATTTGTGAAATACTCTATTATGAAGATCAAAAGACTCGATGTATT